TTTGCGGTCCTTATAGTAAGGGTCCTAGTATTTAGGGTACTGTATTAGGGTCCCCTATTTTCGGAAACTCCCATGTAACATAGGGGCCTTAAGACTTAGAATAGGGTTTGGGGTCCATTAGACTATAATGAGGAACCCCCATAATGGAGCCAAGCTACCCAAAGCCGATACTCAAAAACTAATTGCAACCCCAATTGTAAGAGTCTGATTATGAAAGCTTCCCACGTCCTTTGAGCAGAACCTAAACCCCGTACAGACCGGTCGAAAATCCGATTAAAAACACTCTCAAAGCCCATCATAACACTCTACAGAACAGTAATATCAAAATATAGATCATAACCCATCATAAAACCCTACAGAACAGTAGCAAACCCATACAGCAAAAATACGATAAAACATTGCCAAAGCCCATACAGTAAAGACTCTTCCGACTCCCTGCCTCCCAAAAAAACCTCTTTCTCCGTACCCGGAGCAAACTCGATTTGGGAGTTTCCGAAAATAGGGGACCCAATATAGCACCCTAAATAGTAGGCTCCTTATTATAAGGACCCCAAAAGAAGGTACCCCCAATTTTCGGAAACTCCCATTTGAAGGAATCGAAACGCATCAGCTCCAAACGCCGGGGCTCCTCTCAGCGTTCACTGTTCTTTTCAGGGCAGCGACCTCCCATACGGGCGTTAGGGTCAGAGACTTCCAAACCCATTCAATGAGCAAGAGACCTTAAACTCTACCCCTACATTCTGGCAAGCTCGTCGAACCGCAGCTTTCTAAAATTTAATCGGGATCCTCCCATGATTCAAAACGTATGCTCCTTAACTAAAGCATTTCGGAATGTCTGGATACACCCTTTTTCAACCCCCTATAGAACCCTCCAGGACCCTTTAAAGGAGACCCCATTATTGAACCCTGTAGTTCCCTTTAAAGGAACCCTACGGCCCCTCATATTACATCCTCATAATAGCCCTTATAGTAGGCCTTGTAGACCCCTTTAAAGGAACCCTAAACCCTAATTATGAAGGCCCCTACCCCCCTTTTCTACCTTTCTCAGATCCCACAACCGGGCTCGCGGCTTCCAATCACAGACCGGGTCTGCGCAGGTCGTCTTGCAATCCTGGCCGCTGGGTTTGGGTGCTTAGGGTTTCGGGGCGCGGAGATTTAGGAGTTTAGAGGTTTAGGGTTTAGGGGTTTAGGGCATTACAGGTTTAGGGGTCTAGGGTTTAGGGTGTAGGGTTTAGGGGGCAATGCAGAGGTCCAAGTCCAAGTAATTGGGCAACTAGGCCCACGAAATATGACGGTGAGCGTAAAGTTCGTTCAAACCTCAACTGTAGTTTCTCAACGAACCGTTTGAAACGAACACGTCTCGAAGACCAAAAGCAAGCAACCAAGCAAGCCAGACAACAGTCTCGCCACAGAAGCAAGTGAAATCAACCATATCCGTGAGCTAAGGAATAGCACGGTGTAGGGTTTAGGGTTTAGGGTTTCGGAATAGACCGCAGATTTTTATAGTGATCCTCAATATGATTTAAGGCTTATGCCTCAACTAATGGAGGGCTTTTGGAAGATCTCGGCCCTAAACCCTAAAAGCCCCCCAAGCCAACGGGAAACCTGCTCGCACTGCACTCGGCAGACCGGCTCGCCACAGACCTCGGCCAAGACAAAAGTCGGCTTAGGGTTTACCTTAACCCTGAAGAACCCACCTTTTTAGGGTTCCATATTATGATTTCCTTTTTTTACTCCTTAGAAAAGGTAGGTTATTCCGGGTTAAGGTAGGCTTTGGGGTTTGGGGTTTAGGGTCGGCTTCATAAAAAGCGAACAGTGGCAATACAAAGGAGCTATGAACAGAACATCAGACGGTCGCTTCATAACAAATACAGTAATGATATGTGAAAATCTGACTGCGTGCTGTTTGTGTCGAACGTGTTTTGGAATCGTTGCAGGTTCTTTGTGCACGATAGCGTTCATAAGATGACGACGGGATTGCAGCATGGGATCTGCAAGTTTGTAAGAGGGCTTATGAGGAACCTAATATAGGGGCCTTAACAATTAGAACGGGGTTTTGGCGTAACTACAATATGGAACCCCCAAAATAATCTATGTAACATTTTCAGGCCATATACTAAATCAGTAGCCCTTATAGACCCCTTTTAAGGAACCCTACCCCAATTATTAAGGCCTGTAATATAGACCCTAATGTTGAACCCTTATGGTAACCGCATAGTAACCCTTACAGACCCCTTTGTTAACTCGGGTCCCCTCGCCGTCTTGCAGGCGCCACAGTTTTTGCCGCCTTCGCACTGCTTCTCCGGACCTTGTTGTTGGAGGTGTGTTTGGGGGATCTTTGGGGGGAGGTGTACAGGGATTAGGGTTTAGGGTTTAGGGGATTTTTGGGGGGAGGAGGAAGGTATAAGGAGGTGTGTTTGGGGGGCATCTCTAGGGGGAGGTGTAAAGGGAGTAGGGTTTAGGGTTTAGTTTGGGCGAGGGAGAAGGTGTAAAGGGATTAGGGTAATATCGTTGCCTTCAACAAAAATTGCGTGGATTTAAGAGAACTTGAACGACCAGGGGCCTACCCTTAACCCTTTAACCCCTGAATCCTAAACCCCTAAGCCCCTAAACCCTAAACCTTTGTTTGTAAGGCTAGAAGCCGGGATTAGGGTTGTTTGGGGCATGCTTCAGGACCTCTTTCGATGAAGAAAGAAGGGTACAATGGGGCCCGCGATTCGAAGGGGCTGTCGGGGTGGATAATAGTATCATACTATATTTGTGCAGTGAAAATCAGCGGATCACTTACTTGATTATTTAGACCTCAACAGCACACGGCTTGACGCCTGTGGCCGTTCTGACTGTGGTAGGTAGATCACAGTAGGGCTTCGGGTTTTGGAGCTGGGTTTAATCTGATTTGGGGTGCTTTGGGTTTGCGACTGTGCAGGTAACAACATCGGTAGAAGGCATCGCCGTTTAGAATTAAATGCCCGAAGCCCTAGGCTATGTCAGCCTCAAACCCTAAACACAACATGAACCCTAAACCGCAAATCCTGACCGGGTTTTTTGGATTGCGCGCGGTGAGTTTGTAGGGTTTTCGTTCGTCGAAAATGTGTTTTGCTTCTCGGTTTAAAGGGTGTTTAGACTGCAAGACCCGATAAATGTTGCCATTCCTAAACGAACAAGGGCATGAGGTTTAGAGGTTAGGTGTTTAGGTTGAGGGTTTTGAGTTTACTAAGATTAGGGGTTGAAGCTCACGATGCAAGTAAGGATCAGGTTAGATACACTTACCTAAAAACGCCCAAATGCACCTGAAAACACACCCCAAAGCCAACAAAACCTACCCCAAACCTTAAACCTAAAACCCCTAAACCACCCTGCTGTCGGCAGTGGATCCCTCGGACGCTCTCTGGCTCCGGGCAGATCACAGCGCAGCGAGGCGAATCGCACTTCTGGCGGGGGTTCAGGGGGTTGGGAGTGCAGGGTTTCGAGTTTAAGGTTTCGGATTTGGGGTTTAGGTTTGGGGTTTAGGGGTTTAGGGGGTTTAAGGTTTAGCATGAGGCCTTACAAAGGGTTTAGCATTGAGGGGTTTACGGGTTGAAGGCTTTTGTAGTTTGGGGTTCGGGTGTCAGGGTGTCGGGTTTTGGGGTATTGGGGTTTGATTTGGGGGCTTCGAGTTTTGCGGCCTTTGCGATGTTGGTGGTTCGGCGCGGCACCCTGGACCTTAAACCCAGGTTTACGGCTTCGGGCTTGGAGGCGTCACCGTTTTGAGGGTTTAAGACTTTAAAGTTGTGGGTGTTCTGGCGTTGTGGGTGTCTTAGGGGGTTTAGTGAAAGTGATGGTCGCTTCCGGTCAAGCCTCGGTATGGTTGTAAACACGCGCTAAGCTAGGGTTTAGTGTTTAGGGATTTGGGGTTTAGGGGCTTATCGTACTGTCCGCCCTGGACCTTGAACCCGTGACCTTAAACCCTAAACTCCAAATTCTGTACCCTAGACCCTTATGGCAGGCCTTGTAGACTCCTTTAGGGACCCCTTGAAACAAAACCCTACATCTCTAGTTCCCGGCTTTAGCCCTCACCCCTCAAACCTAAACCTCAAACCTTAATCAAAATTTAGGGGCCTAGTATGCTGGCTGTTTTTATTGGTAAAGGAGTATTGGGCTCTCTGGGCTCCAGTTCTCGGCTGGAAGCATGGGGGAGAAACCTCCCAGGAGTCTTAGGTGATGGCGTTTGCAGGTCATGAAGCCTTACAAAGGGTTTAGCAGTGAGGGGTTTACGGGGTTGAAGGCTTTAGTGGTTTGGGGGTTGAGGGGCTTGGGGTTTTGTGTCTGTGGGTTCAGGGTGTCGGGTTTAGGGTTTGAGGGTTGAATGCAGTGTTCCGTTATCTTCGCAGAGTGTTCGACGACGTTGCGCAAGTAAGGTGATGAAAAAATATCAGGTGTTGGGCTTTAGCCTCTTAGGTTTGTCGCCGAAACAAGCACAGTCCGTAGTTGCTGAGTTCATAAGCCCCACAACGCGTACTTTGAGGTCTACAGGGCATAATGTGTTACCCCACACCTTAACCCACCAGAACCTACTTCTTGTAGGGTCCCTAAAACTCCAAATTAAGGTGTATAATAAGAACCGACAAAAAGTAGGGTTTGGTAGGTTAAGGTAGAGTGTAAAGTGCCCTCTTTCATCTACTATATAAGAATCCGACGTTTTCTTGGTCTTCAGCAGACCACATCGGCGTAGAAGCCACGAAGATACGCAGCTTTACAGGATTCCAGTGTCGTGCAGACCTTCTAGAAGAGCATCCTTAGCATATATAAGGACCCCTTACACAAGAATAGCTTCACCAGTTGCTTAAGGCCTGAAGCCCACACTGACTCCTGCGAGCTTGCAGTCGGAAAAAACCCTCCACAGCTTTCGGCGGAAATTTTGTTACGAGATGCTGTACCAGCAACATCAACCTGGTCGACATCTTCCGCACGACGGAAGCCACAATGCCTGGAGGTAAGGTTGTCGGCTTCGTAGTATAGGTTTATTGTGCAAGAAGCTTCCTCATAGCCTTCGTAGAGCTGTGGTCAAATGCTCTTTTGCCGGTCCTGTCTGCTGCGGACTTGTCTGCCCGCGCCAGAACCAGCACGCGTGCAACGTCGAGATTGCTGCTGATAGCTGCCACAATCAAAGGTGTCTGGCCTGCATTGTCCACAGCATCTCTTCCAGCCCCAGCCTTTAAAAGCCTTTTCACGGTCCCTACATGGTTGCTCGCCGCAGCCTCATGAAGTGCCGTCCTTCCTCCGTTGTCAACTAAGCCCGGGTTTGCTCGGACCGTTAACAACCAACCTACGACCTCGCCGATGCCTTTGCCATAGCCTGGGACAGTAGCACAAAGCAGATGGAGTGGCGTCCTCCCGGAGCGGTCGGCGAGGTTCACGTCCGCCTGCGCTTGCAGCAGTTGCTCAAGAGCCCACCGGCCCTTTTTCACATCCAGGTCCTCAAAGTCAAAGCCATCCGTGCCCATCACTTCGCACACACAGCGTACTGCCTTGGCCTTGTCCGCTCCAGCATCCAAAAGGACCCTCATCGTTTCCGAACTGCCATACATGGCAGCCACGTACAAAGCCGTAACGCCATCATGCTGGTCCTCTTTCTCGAGGTCAGCCTCGGCCTCCAAGAGAACCTGGACGACGCCAGAATCTTCATTTCGAGCAGCCAGGTGAAGGCACGGAATGCCATCGTCGTTTCTTGTATTCGGATCACAAAGATACTGAAGTAATCCTTCTACACCCTCCTCTGATTCGTAACCAACCGCAGCAGCAAGATCCACCCGCTTCCTTGTGAAAGGAAGCACCACCAGCTGAACATCAACATCTGAGCTCACTCTCGCAGCATCTTCCAGGACACAGCTTTCTTGCAGTAGCCGCTGCCGGAACCGGGGAACCCCACAGAGCTCGTGCAAGTGCTCCTTCAAGCTCCGAACGTCGCTGACCAGCTCCGAGGGTATCGTGGCCGCACTTTCTCCGGAAGCTTTCCATACTCGAATCATCCCATCGGAAATCTACAAGATTTAAAGCATCATGGCCAAGGCAAGGAACTATCTTGTGTCAAACATTGAACCTATCAACACACGTGTCCCCGCTCATTCCACTCCAACAGCATCATGCAACACCTACTCAACACACGACAGCTTTTGGCCTCATTCACCGGTGAATCCTAACACTCCAGACACCTTGAATTTGACATATTTGACGGCTCCGAATTCTCAACAGTAAGAAATCGAGCGCTGGGAAAAACAAAACAAACAGCCCCGCGACGAGGAAGAATCTCGTGAAGGCAGAGGGTTTCAGGGTGTTCAGCTGCTAGCTTTCAGGGTCCAGGGTTGTAACGATTGTTTGACTCGCTCCAAGATCTGACTTGCAAAGTGCAATCTCTTTACCGCAAAAACTCGAAAAGAGTTCCTAAGACTTGGCTGTGATTGCCTACGCGGCCTAAAAACTTAGAATATGTTAGACCAAAGTTTCCGAGGTATGGTATACTACGATTGTAGTAAGGAACCCGAAGTCATAGTACTGCATTCCGGAGACACACCTGCGACTTTTGCAGGGCACAAAAACAAACTACAATAGACCTCTATACATATCCGAATCCGACCTCGTACCCTAAAGCTCGCATACCCGACATAACTTCATGAAGCCTGTCTATCCCAAATTATCAAGCCCTATCAAACACCTTGTGAAATCCTTGGAAGACCTGCGCAATGAGAGTAGTAAGAACAGTAAGCAACCACAGCAGTAATAAGGGTGATGACTAGTTATGACTGCGGTATCAGTGCCCGTGATGACAATGAAAACAAAAATCAGCTCGTTCAAAATGACAACAAGTAACAGTATCCTGCATCCCAAAACCTCGAGCCCCAAAACCCTAAACCCAAACGTGAAGCCGCAAACCCTACACCATAAAACTCTAAACCCAAAAATCCCCAAAGCTCTGAAACTCAAATCCCTAAAAACCCTAAAACCTCAGTTTCAAAAGCCCTAAAGCCCTAAACCTGAACCCTCTGAAAGCCTTGATCCCTTTACAGAACTCAAAGCCGCCACGTATAGAAATCCTATCCTAACCTAAGATCCCTTAGATCCTTTTGCTTTATAGATGCCCTTATGGGTAGTTATCAAAATTGGGGTCCCTTTTTGGGCACCTTAAATATTAGGTGCCGTATTAAAACAGGGACCCCATATAAAGCCTATCCTAACCTAAGATCCCTGAGATCCCTTTACTTTATAGATGCCTTTAAAGAGCCCTTGTAAGGAACCCTTACTACGTCCCCTGGGCTTCTAAGTAGACCCTAAACCCCAAACCCCATAGATCCCTTTAAGGAACCCCTATAGATCCCTTTAAAGGAGCCCTTTAAGGAACCCCTATAGATCCCTTTAAAGGAGCCCTTTAAGGAACCCATAAAGCCTGCACGCACTTCGCCATCTTCAGCTGCTGGCAGCTCGTAGAGCACTGCGGCGGCGCGCAGACGGGCTCGCAGGTCTGCCAGGAAGGGGCTCGGTTTGGGGCTTAGGGTTTTGGATTTGGCTCAGTTTGGGGTTTAGGGTTTAAGTTTTAGGGTTTAGCTCAGTTTGGGGTTTAGGGTTTAGGGTTTAGGGTTTAGCTCAGTTTGGGGTTTAGGGTTTAAGTTTTAGGGTTTAGCTCAGTTTGGGGTTTAGGGTTTAGGGTTTAGGGTTCAGCTCAGTTTGGGGTTTAGGGTTTAAGTTTTAGGGTTTAGCTCAGTTTGGGGTGTAGGCTTTAAGGTTTCAGGGTATCGGTTGTAGGATGGTTTCAGGTTTCAGCGTTTAGGTTTTCAGCATATAGGGTTCCTTTAAACGGGTCGATAAAGGGTTCCTTTAAGAGCTCATTCATGCTTGGGTTTTAAGGGGTCTGGTTCAGACATTAGGATCGTGGATGGTAAGCCACACGCCCTAAACCCCAAACCCTACACCCTAAGCCTTAAACCTAAACCCTAAACCCTAAGCCCTAAACCCCAAACCTTAAGCCCTAAACCCTAAACCCTAGGCTTCGGCCTCAGAGTTTAGGGCCTGAGGCGGTTCGGGTCCTCAAGAATTCACTTCAGGTTAGGGTTTAGGATTTAGGGTTTAGGGCTTAGGACTTAGGGTTTAGGCCTTAGGGTTTAGGGTTTAGGGCTTAGGGTTTAGGGTTTAGGGTGTAGGGTTTAGGGAATCATCAAAGCAACTGCAAAGCACTGAGCTACTTTGTGGGCATACGAATGCTTCAAAATCATAATCACTTTACCTGACTCTCCCCCGCTCCACGATGATAGCAAGAGCCTCATCGTCTAAACAGAGTAGCAGAAACAGTGACACTGTTGATGGACAAAATCCTGCATGACCCTAAGGACCCTAAACTATGGGAATGATGGTATCTCCCTTATAATGGGTAATGCAGGATTTTGTCCGTCAACAGCAGTAAGAACGGATGCTCAGCAGCCTCCTACTTTTTATCTCCACATCGTCATCGCATGCTCGTCACGATCACCATCATCAGCTCTTCAATCGCGAATCCCCTTAAGTGCTTTCTATAGCCATCGCTCCGATGATGCCCTGATGATCGAATCTGGAATGCCCCTCCGCGACTCTGCGCCCTCGTGCATGAAGTTTGCTTTTTGCAGTTACCCTTAACCCTAAAACCTAAACCCTAAAACCCTAAAACCTAAAACCCTAAACCCTAAAACCCTAAACCCTAAAACCCTAAAACCCTAAAACCCTAAACCCCTAAATCCTTAAGCTTTAACGCTTAGCCGTCGACCTCGAGATTGGGAAACATGCCGAGGCCATCTCGAATTCGGCTCCCGATTACCCGAGCATCTCGGGTCTCTCTGCCACGGTTCACATAGGGTTTAGGGTTTTAGTTTGAAGTGTAGTGTTCAGGTTTTGGGTTATATAAAGTTTTAGGGCTTTAGTTTAGAGTGTAGCGTTCAGGGTTTGGGGTATAAAAGTCTAGGGTTTAAACCTTAAGCTTCCTACAAAAGCCCAAGACGTCTTCCACAGCCACGCTTCTTCGTGATTCGTGGCCGGCAAGGCTTGCTATGTAAACACCCTCAGGCCTCTTTCTCAGGGACCTACACTGGGATTATTACATAAGCGCTATGCCACTGTGCCATAAGCCTGAAAAACAACAGGTAGAAGCTTTCACAGTGCTGAATCCTAAGCCCAAATACCTCCGATGCCCCAATCAACAAAACAGGAGTCCTCATCCATTGGGTACTGCTTACATGCAGCAACAGTCTACAATGAGGGTACTATTCAAGACCTTATTTACCCATACCGTAAATATTCTTCAACTGTTACTGAGTGGGGGTAGTATCCAACTCATCCCCTTCCCCTCCTTGAAGACAAGCGGGTCAAGGACAAAGTACCCAGACCCCCGGGAGGATGCAAAAAGCCGATCCCTTAATAGGGGGTTCCTAGAACTTAAGTACCCTTAGTAGTATAGAGCCTCAAATTACGGGATCTACTTTCTAGATCCTTCCGGGGTTCTGGGTAATGAGAAAACATCGGAGGGGGCCTCCTGGCAGGTGGCCTCCCCAAGGCACTTCCAGAGGCACCTGACCAAGCTCAGATCTACCGGCTTTAGGGTTGATTTTTTTGAAAGTGCATCGGACTTTTGATTTAGGGTTAATTTAGGGTTTAGGGTTTAGGGTTCAGGGGACTAGGGTTGTTCTTGAGCTGGTTAATTTAGAGTTTTGGATTTGGCATTTAAGGGTTTAGAGGTTTAGGGCATAGGGGTTTGCCGGGTGAGGCTTCATAGGGTTTCTTATGGTTTGGGGCTCAGGTTCTGTAGGAAACTTCGCTCCTTTGGACTTGACATGTACGTGGAGAGTTACGACCCACTTTCTGGCTTCGGATACTGGGAGGCCAAGGGGGCTCTCTTAAAGGGCTCCGTAAAGGGATCTATAGGGTTCCTGAAAGGGCTCTGTGGGGTTTAGGGTTAAGGGTCTACTTGGAGGCCAAGGGGGACTTAGTAAGTCGGTTATAAGTGGGGTTAGAGTTGGGGTAGCTCCATTTAGGGGACTTATAACTCTACTTATAACCTACGGATGATGAAGTTGGGGATTATGGGCTGCAGACAGCCTTTGGGGACTGTGCCGTAAGGTGCTTAAGTTTTTGGGTTTAGAATTTGCGGGGTTTAGGGTTTGGGGAGGATAAGAACCCGAATAGCTAAGACTTAGAGCTACATGTGCGGTTTGGGCGGGGATGGCTCTTCTACGCTTCAGGTCGCACTTGTTTGGGTTGGGTTGCAACACTTTGGCGCTTTGGGCTTTATGGCCTGCCCATTAACCCAGACCCCCGGGAGTATCTAGAAAGTAGATCCCCTAATTTGGAGCCCTATACTACTAAGGGTGCTTTATAGGAACTCCCATTATGGGATCTACTTTTCTGGATCCTCCCGAGGGTCTAGGAACATGTCGTGACTTTGATGGAATAAGTATTGGAGGATGCTTTACCGTTCATCGAAGCCGCCTTCAGCATTTGACGATGTGGGCTTGCAATTTGGGACTTTGATGAAGCAGCTTCACGGATTGACGGTTTGTCTCCTCACCTTTGACGGCAAACCCCCAAAAAAAACAAACTCTGCTCCCGAAGCTGGGTCTCAAACTGAGGATGACAATCCTGCTTCTTTCCTGTCGCATTCGCGCTCCTGGGGAACATGTGGACGTCGTGGGAGAACGATCTCGGGCTCTTAAGGTTGAATATACCGCCAAGGGTCCAAGTCCCTAACTATCATATACTCTCCAAAACAGTAACCTACATAACTACTATCCGAAAGCTAAGTGCCTGATTATTGGGTCCTTTGGACCCTTAGGATACGGGTCTTACTAATCGGAATACTCAGGTTCCTTTCCCACTAAAGGATTACATCGGGGCTTGTTTCAGGGTTCATACCAAGGTGCCATACAAACAAGCAGACAGGGAGTGCGGTGGGTAGTTGTCAAAACTATGCCCCCTTTTGGGTAACTCTAAATATCAGGTGCCGTATTATATTAGG